AAAACTTACTCTCTAAATCATCATTAAAGAGTCATTTGAATAAAAATCCCTTTCCATTTTTTTCCACTCTCCAACGGCTTTTCTATATCTTGTGCGCTCTCCAGAGAGTCAGCCTCACTCCATCTTTGGCTAGCGAGAAATCCGGAATAGAAGATGGCTATATCTCGATAACCAATTAAAGAAGTTGTTGGAGGGTATTTTTAGAACCAAAATCTCTATTCCTAACAATTAGGAAGGATATAGAGAATCTTTTGGAGTTGATCTTATGCCTTTGTGACTGCAACTATGAGCAACACATTGCCCGTGCGTTGCAACAGGAGCAACAAAAATTTGCATGATCTATTTGGTAGCAAGCCAAAATAAGATCGGGGTAATTAAATTTTGCATGTGTACCAAAAGAAAAATTATCCATACCACAAAAATCAAGACAACACAGTGCATTCTTTGGCCAGGTAGAATGAATGAATATAAATAAGAGTGGAGATGATTTTTCTGATTTGAAAACTTCTCATTTAAAACTAAAACAAAATTAGCAATCATGAATCCTAATTAACTTTGCGCAACAGTAGCATAGACCTTACAGGAGTAAAATAATCAAACTGCAATTCAAATTTCTCATATACTAAATAAATTCTACAAGTTTCAAGAAGCTAGTCCAACTTACCAAAAAGCTCTGAAGTTCACAATTTAGTTCAGTGGTAATGGAATCATCAACCGCCACCTCCACGCCCACAGATCAGTTCTGGATCCAGCCCACTTTAGTTCACCAATATGAGCCTAAGGATCCACTTTTATCGCTTCGATGGGTGGCTAGGGTTGTCGTTGGTAGCTCTGCTATGGTTGGTGAGGCTGTAGAGTGGTGGCGGACCGACTTGACTTAACCCTTGAATATGAGATGATTTCACCCTTCATAATATCTAAACAGAGAGGAGGAATGATAAGCAATATGCTCTATACATAGCTTCAAACTTGAACTATCAAATAACTCACATGAGCCCCAGGGTATGCACCAGGCCACCCATCTGCAGTGTGGCGCCTTGTGTGCTTCCCCTCCAGGATCATTAGGTCCCCTCCTAGATCCAAAAACAATTCAAAACTCAGCACACTGATGGCATATGGATCGATTTAAACGAGATCATGGTAAGAGTTCCATCACCTGGATCATGTCAAATCAGAGTAGGAGGCCCGTGGCCACCTAGGACAATGGCGACATAGTCGGCGGCGGTGCCCCATGGTGGTAGGAGAGAGACCCTGGATCACGGTGGCCTTGGACCGGAGCATGAGATAGTCACCACAATTAGCTGATAATACCCTTGATCGATTGATCCACTGTTTCTAGTGAACAGCTTGTTTGACTATCTGCATCGTCTTTGTTTTACTAGTAACTTGAGTACCATAAGCACAGTACCTCAGCTGCATAAGGTACCTTTTGCAACCACATCCATATCAACTGCAAATCATGGCCAGCTAGCTTCAGATTCAGAATACACAGACCTCTACACTCTACCTGTTCCAAATCTATTAGCACGCAAGACGCCACTGCACACTTACATCAAATCTCGAGTCCAGATGAAATCGCCTTTTGTATCCACTTTCAAATCAGAAGGTAGTTTAGTACACTCCTGCTGGAAGTTGTCCTGCGATAACCAACACCAAGTAACAATGATTGCTCATGAATCTTAAGTAGCTCGTAGTATAATTCTTGAGGGCCATTTACTTTTGTGCTCCTAGAAACTTGATTTCAAGAAGTACTATCCACGGCCATATAACTTGGCAATAACTTTCTCATTTCTTTCAGTGTCCAGACTGAAAATCATGAACGAGAGGGGAGTTCACTTGACCCTTTCTATCTGTGGACCCTTTTCTGATCGCAGTGATTTCTACCCAATTGTGAATTAAAATATGACCATCAATGCCGAACCTTGTCAAGGCATGAACATGACTTGAACTTGAGGCTCAAAATAAATTTGGAGGGACTTTTTTTTTTGAGGAAACAGGAGGGGGGTAGCCCCCTACTGGTTAATATATATTAATTAATAGCAGAAAAAGATGTGTCCAAGCAAAATAATTCAAGAAACGAAAAAGGACAGAAAGAATATTAAGAAGATCACAATTGGTGCTCTAGCCATTCTTCTATAAGAGGGAAATATTTTTTCTTCGCTCTATGGATAACCAGAGAGAACTCTTTTTTGAAAATTGCCCTGCAATTTGGTATAGATGGCTGAATTCCTTGGAATATATGGTCATTCCTTGAGACCCAAATGCTCCAGCTCATTAGTATGATGATTTCCATGTAGAAGTTGACTCCCAACTGGTGCTTGAAGTGTTCCAGAGTAATAAAGAGTTCATCATCGGTGTCAATGCTAAGATTAAGACCGAACCAGCAAGCTTGAGCGAAGTCACACTTGAAGAAAAGGTGTTCCAGGGTTTCCTCCGTAGGTTGGGTGCATAAGACACAATCATAAGACGGGAGATCCATGTTCTTCCTTCGGAGAAGTTCTCTTGTGCTGAGTCGGTCCTTTAGGAGTAACCAGAAGAATACTTTATGTTTGTATCGACAAGATGACCTCCAGATCCATTTGAATGCCGGGTGTACCTCTGTGTGACCAATTAGAACTCTATAAGCCTTTGTCGTGTTAATTTTGCACTTCAAAGGTTCTCTGTCTGACCAATTTGAATGGAGGGACTTTCAAGTGCGCACATAATTATGGCCAGCTAGCTTTAGATACAGAACACCCAGACCTCCATATTCTATTGGTTGCAGATTTTTTACCATGGCAGGATGCACTTACGTCCGATCTACAATCCAGAAGATATCACCATTTGCAATCACTATCAAATCAGAATGTAGTCAAAGTCTGTTGAATTCTCTCACGCCTGAAGTTTTCCTGTGATAACCAATGCATGCTCATGGATCTTGAGTAACTCATGGAATGATTTGTAACCGGTTCTTCCATTTCCTTCTACTTCAGCAAGTAGTGTAACTTTTGTGTTTCATAAAGTACTATCCACACCATAACTTGGTAATAGCTTTCTCATTGCTGCATGTGCCAGACTGGAAACCTTGGACCGGAAATAAGTCCACTACACAGGTGTGCACAAATTTAGTTGACCTGATAGTGAACCTGGACATGGTAACGTGGAGCATGTAAATACAGCTCTTGAACAATAAACTAGTTAACCTGACAAAGAATATTTACAATTCAACTAAAAAAATGTTTGAAGTGCAAAATCAACACGAGCAAGTAAACTACTGTCAACACTAACATGAACATAGTTAGCTTGGGCCATTGACAGATGCGGTAAACAATAATATAAGCTTAGAGCATGAGATTGTGAAACTAATCTGTCAAAATTGTTCGGCCAAATCTTCACATAAATATTTTTATAGATCAACATAAATCTTCAGTCGAGATTCATTTCAGAACTGGATCACAAATCACAACATTAAGAAAGGTTCTCTGGCAAAGAGTGCCTTAAGTCTAAGGAGCAAATAAATAGGCCAGCTTCCTCAAAAGGCAAAAAGGTTCTCTGGAGTAAATGGCACACATTTAATGAGGCAATAACTTCTAGGAAAATGTATCTTCCAAGGGTCCAAGACCAATCAAGACTGAGTGGTAAGCTGATCTTACATGGAGATGTACTGCATCTTAGGACAGGAAATTTCTGTCCTGAATGAATATTAGTGCTCAAGAAATTTCAGTGAAATGAATTCACATATTTATCAGGTTTCTGGATAAATATATATGATTTTACTTTGGACAAAAAATAATGCAGATACATGTACAGAGATGCTAAAGGAAAAGTATAAATAGCATATAGCCATATACACATTAACAAACACACGAGGAATCTAACTATGATATAGCAACACTTATCCATGGCAGCTACTCCTAAATTTCAAGATACACTTCAGAGATCCAAACCAATAAGTCGAGCAATAAGCAGGTGCCATAACACCAAACAATATTTTTTGCCTTCAAGTGTCAGTAAAATAAAGATATGAACATACATCCTTAGAGTCATATGAAATTAAATGGAAACTAGTACAAATTGTTTTCCCAGGAAAAGGAAAACCAGTATACTTAAAGTAGCATCAGTTTTAACACATTACACTTTTAGACCATTCAGTTTCACCTAAAATAGTAGCAATGCTTTCATCAACAATCACAGTGGGAAGTCAGACATGAACACCAGTGACAAACTTTTAGCAACTTGCCTTTTCATTGCACTCTGTTCAGTTTTACATCTATACTCAGGTCAAATATGATACCAACTAGTAGTCAATCTGATAAGTGTTTCCACACTTCATCAGTAAAGGAAACATCATATTTTGTTGAATTATAGCAAACAAAAGATAGAGCTGATAAATATATAGGCAAAAGCATGAAGCACCATGAATTCCATACAATAGAGTAAATTAGAGAACCACACTGAGGTAAGACAAAATTGGTCAACTATACCATTATGCCCTTGATGTGCAACAATAAAGGGCGTACCCAGTGCAGAGAGCTCCCGCTCTGTGCGGGGTCTGGGGAAGGGTGTCAGTGACAAGCCTTATCCTCGCCTGTGCAATGCGAGGAGACCGCGACTCAAACCCGGGACCTTCCGGTCACAGGCGGTAAGACTCTACCGCTTGCACCAGGCCCGCCCTTCCTTGATGTGCAACAATAAACTTTTCAAAACAATGCCCTCTGTCGTCGTTGCAACCTGGGAGATAATGAAGGAGCATGGCACCCGAGTTTTTCAAAACACGGCAATAAGAAAATTTGACCCAACCCCACTGCTAGGGCAGATTAAAGAAGAAACAAATGACACAGTTCTTGGCAGGAGCAAAAAGTTCGCGCAAATTATACCTAACATTTAGCAGCTAGCATCTTTAGACACGCATATTTCCATTTCTGTTTCGTTTCTGTAGAATTGAACTCAAATCTGAAAATTCGTTTTTGATATTAACATAACTGGCAACCTTCCAGCCTTTTCATTTCAAGGCAATGCAATCAAATTGGACTTGCTATTATCCTATCTAGCTCATGGTTAGTTCTTTCCGTGTCATCAAAGGCTATTCCTTTCTCTGACATTTCCTTCTTCAGAGATGCTACCTTTGATTCATTTTCACATCTCGCATAGGTATCGACCATGGTGCCATATATGCTACTGCTAGGTTCAACATTCTTGTGCAACATTTGCTGATACAGGCATTCCATATCATGAACTCTCCCTGCACTACCCAATGCATTAAGAAGTGGATGGTATGTTCTCAGTGTAGGTCTGATGCCATACTTGTGCATTTCTTGGAGAAGCTCCAATGCTCTATCAGTATCGCCCTTGTTGCAGCATGCTGATATTATAGTATTGTAGCTAACAACGTCAGGTCTCAGCCCTTGATTTGTTAAGTTGCAAATCAATTCTTCAGCTTCATCTATTTGTGAATTTTTGCAAAGACCTTTTAGCAGCAAATTATAGGTAAATATACTTGCAGATACTCCACTATTTTTCATCTTCTCAACCAGAAGGAAAGCCTGCTCAGTGTCACCTGACTCTATATAAGCATCAATGATTGAGTTGTACACCTGTGCATTTTGTACAACATCTTTGTGTATCATATCATCCAAGATAGCTACAGCTTCTGGGATTTTTCCTTTCTTGCAAAAAGCCTTGACAACCGAACCAAAAGAGATAACATTTGATTTTATCCCCTTGTCTTGCATATCAGACAAAACAGTGAAACACTTTTCGAGTTGCCCAGCCCTCCCATAAGCGTCAATCAGTGTATTGAAAGTTTCCACGCTCGGATCCACTCCGCTCTTCTCCATCTCCATCACCAAATCCTCTGCTTCAGTGATCATTTCCAACTTACACAAACCATTTATGAGTGCATTGTAGGTGATGTGATCTGGCCTAATATGACGTGATTTCATCTGCTCAAAGATGGGGAAGGCCCCTTGGAGGTCACGAACCTGACAATAGCCATTTATTAGAGTGTTGTAGATCGCTGTTGTTGGCACCAGCCCTGTGTGTACCAACATCTCCAACACCTGTTCTGCCTTTGCGACCTTCCCATCCTTGCATAGACCATTCAGCAAGATACTGCAAGTGTATGCTCCAATCATGACACCCTTCTTCAAAGACTCTCCAAACAAAGAAAGCATGGTCCGTGAATCTCCAGTTCGTGTGAGACCATCAAACAATATGCTATATGTGAAACCATCCGGCAACATGCTATATGATGCCATCTCATCCATCAAGACTCTTGTCTCATCCATCCTGCCAGCACGGCACAGCCCTGATAGCAGCACATTGTAAGTTACTACATTTGGCTTCGGGCCCTCATGTAGCATTTGATCCCGCAGTCTGAAACCAGCCTCCAGATCCCCACCCTTGACATGCCCATCAATCATCGTGTTGTAGGTGATCTGGTTAGGCGCGACTCCCCTGTCCACCATTTCATCGAACAGCTTGAGGGCGTCGCTGCCCTTCCCGGACCTCCACAGCCCTGCGATGACCACGTTGTACGAGAACGCGTCGGGAGGAGGGGCGCCTTCGCTACGGCCCATCCGCCGCAGCATGGCAAGTGCCTCGTCGAGGTCGCCCGCCGCAACGCAGGCCTGGACGACCTTGTTCCACGCGAAGGTGTCCGGGCGCGCACCAGCCGCCACGAGGAGGCCGAACGCGGCGCGCACATCGGCGTGGCGGCCTACGGATAGGAGGGACTCGAGGAGGAGGTTGCAGGACGATAGAGACGGCAGCGGCGAGCGCACCGCGCCGGCACAGGCGCCGTCGCCCGCGCTGGCGAGGAGGGAGAGCAGGCGGAGGGCGCCGTCGGGTTGGCAGAGACGCGCGGAGGCGACAACGAGGGCGGAGGCCGCGTCGCAGAGGAGGGAATGGGGGCGCGCCCGCGGGTCGTCCTGGGTGTCGGCTGTGGCAGCGAGGGCGTGGTAGAGGTCGGGGACGCTGACGGCGGGGGGATGGGAGGAGAGGAGGGATTTGGCGAGGTCGACGGCGCGGTGGAAGCGGCCGGCGGCGAGGAGGGAGGCGAGTTCACTGAGGGGGGCAGTAGAGATGGAGGAGGAGAGGTGGCGGCGGCGAGGGAGGAGGCGAGACATTTGCGAGTTACCTCCAGTCCTGTACAGCTGCACCCCGTCCCCATGGTTCGTCTATACTGCTATGTTGTGTCTTGTCCAGCATTTGGCTCCTCTGCAAACCAAGGATTTCTCAGATGTGTACGAATGCTTAGAGCAACTCCAAGTGATGATGTATATTTGTCTTCAGCCAAAATTTAGATTTATTTAACAAAAACAGGCATCCAACGGATTATAATGTATCCAGTCTTCCAAAATTCGAAGCCATCTGTCCCGTAAAATCCGTTATTCAAAAATGGGCATTTACATATTTTCCATTATTATAGATATCATCTTACACTGTGTCACTGACATGATATTTTATATACCACTCACCACGTAATGATCATAAATATGTAAATATTCCCAAAAATAGCCTTCCGCGGCGGCTCGCTATTCCTCTTCCCCGCGTGAAATTCTGCTCTGCGCTCCCCTTCCCGTGCCGCGGGAGAATTGTTTCAGCACGACGCCATCTCCGTACCGCCCCCCCCCCCCTCATCCACGCAGCTGCCTTCAGACGGCCCTTCACCTCCACCCCCCACCCGTGCGGTTCCCTGCGTCCCTTGCCCCGTCCGTGCGCCCCGGACGGGCCTTCCCCTTGCAGCGCGTCTCTCCTCGAACGCCACTTTGCCTTGGTCTATGCGCCTCTGGTTCTTCCCATCTCCATCGGCTCCCTCAATTGACCCTCCCCAGACGCTGCCAAATACCAGCCTGCCCAGTACCACGTCCTTGCCCTTGTGCTCGTCGGTGTGCCTAGTCTCGGACACCCATTCCCAGCATGCGCGGCAGCCAGCCGCCCCTTCTCCGGTCCTTGCATGTCTCTAATCTGCATGTGTTTCCTCAGAATGTCGCATCCATCTGATGGGGCTCACCATTGCAGGCGCTTAGGAAGACCCCAATTACGCTTCGTACTGCTTCCTATGTTCCCGGTGGTCAAGGGTGGGAGCAATTGGAGTCACCGTCGTTGGCTTGGTTGGAAAATGCGAGGGGCAGCGGCGGCAAATTAATCCTCCCAATGTCGCGCCCACTGCATCGGCCTCCTTCACCAATATGAACTTTGGTGAGCTAGACAGACCTATATGTGATTTTTAAGTTTCTCTGTTGCGATATATGACCCATGTTCTGAAGAATGCATGACACATGTTCAAAATGTGTTTGGTGTTGCCACTGAAAAGAAAGTGTTTAGATTTAAATCAATGATATGTTAGACAAAATCACATAATTGCTTCCAGCTACTAATGTACTTGGGACAAAAACAGTCATGCACAATGCTATTCCAATCATATTCAGAAATCTGAAATGAGCTACATGTGTCATGAAAGCATTCAATAATTTAAGTGATCTTCTCTTGCCTCCGCAACTATATTCCTAGAAGTCATTTCTGCACAGTTAATTGCAAGTTAATTTGGGGCTTAGGTATTTTAATTAGTTGTTTCACATCTAGGTAATGTTATGAAGAGAGTATATGCATAACAAGAGCCTTCACAGCTCTGAAAATAATTGCAGTGAGCTGACTTGACAAAGTTCAGTCATGGACACTCGATAGAGAAAGCAAGCATGTAGTTCTTCTGAAGTCCTCAACTTTATATGTCCATGGGAGTCCTATTCTCGCGAGGGTGAAAGCATATATTTTGAAACTGTTGCTTATCTTGCACGCTTCAGTTTTTTCTTCTTGCTGAAATCATAATTCGAGTCATCAATGTTTGCATCTCTGTTCTAATGAAATATAAGAAATTAAGATAGCCCTGGGGTTCCGGATGCATTCCTCTTCTGTATGAAATAGTCGTCGTACTCCTCAACAACATTTATTATACGTACAAATACATGACGCCGCATTCGAAACATGTGGCGACCGATATAAAATTAGCCACAATTGAATGTATGCGCTAAACATAATTGAACAAAATATGAGAAAATTAACATGCACCAAAAATAGCTCAGCCCATACGTAGGATTATCTGAGAAATCATCTTCATACAGTCTGATGTGCCCCAACTGCCTATCACGATTCAAAACATGATGTCCCTCTACAAAACCACGATGGCATGCTGCAGTATAAAGTTCATCGTCATCATCCGAAGATGAAGACGACGACGAATCCATCATTTTATTCAATACATCTTCCAAATTCATTATAGACCTTTGATTAGGAGTGTCGGTGTTTCGAACAAACACCGGCGAGTAAATTTGTAATTGATGCGCGTTAGGCCCGGATGGTGCGCTAAAGGACACAAGGGTTATACTGGTTCGGGCCGAATGTCCCTACGTCCAGTCTGTTGCTGCTCGTGTTATTAGCACCGTATGAGGTTCGTAGTAGGGGGTACAAACGGTTGGGAGAGGGAAAGACCCCAAGTCCCTGATGGAGTGATTGGAAGGACGCCAAGAGCTCTGCTGGAGCTTGGCCGTGTGGTGCGTGTGTGTGTGTTCAGAATCGATCCCCTTAGTGGGGAGCCCTGCCCTCCCTTTTATAGGTCAAGGGGGAGTAGGGTTTACAGACAAAGGAAAAGAACACTAAGGGCGTAGAAGGTCCTTCGAGGGACCCGGGCCTTCCTTCTTCCCCACGCCTGACCTATCCATCATGGCAGGCCGTGTCAGGAGCGAGGTGACTGTAGATCGTCGTGGGCCGTGCCATGGCCACTGTTTAGCAAGTGGGTACGTCCCATCCCGCCCCTACGGGCGGCGTGTCGGACAGGATTTGCCGAGCCCCGACCCTGAGGGGGTCGGGTGGCGGGGTGACTGTTGGTTTGCCCTTGGAACGTAGTGGTTGTCGTATGTCTGCGTCGGGTTCTTCGTCCGGAGGTTGCGGGCGGCGCCTACAATACTGTAGGATGAATAGCAGGCACCCGCAACACTGTTCGGGCTCTGCCACGCCTGGAGAGGTCAGATGCTTGTCTCTGCCACATCCTGACGGTACCTCTCTGCAGGGGTGCAGGGCATGGCGTCTGTCGCTATGGTTTGACCCGAATGTCTTGTCTTTACCCTGTAGTCGCCATCATGAGGATGCGGGGTACGTTTCGTCAGGTGAGCTGAACCAGCCTCCGGATATCGGTTTAAGACGAGGTCCATCAGTGGTCGTTGGATGAGGTAAAACCTAGCTTTTACCGTCGGGCGAAGCGGAGGTGTCCCTCGGCCGTCGGGCGGGGCCGAGCCCAGCCCTCGGGGGTCGGGCGAGGCGGAGTGTATCCTTGGGGGTTGGGTGAGTTGTTACCCAGCCGTCGGGTGAGGCGGAGTTGCCCTCCAGCCGTCGGGCGGGGCCGAGCCCAGCCCTCGGGGGTCGGGCGAGGCGGAGCAAGACTCCTGTTTGCTCGGGCAAGAGATACAGCCGCGCTCTCGGGAGTTTTTACCGTTCGATGGTGCATTGATTCCTCCTCTTTGGGGTACCCCGGTATTAGGTCCCCGACAGTAGTCCCCGAGCCCTCGGGTGATTCGGGGTGAATCATCCGGGGGGTTTCTTCGGTCTCGTCGGAGTTACCTTTCCGGAGGGTGCGCATGTGGCCTTCCGAGTGGAGTGTAGTCCCCGAGCCCTCGGGTGATTCGGGTGAATCATCCGGGGTTCTTCGGTCTCTTCGTGGGTAAGGTTGAAGGACTTAATTTTTCATCAACCGGACATTTTTCCGAATGGGTCGTGGTATTCCGTTCGCTGGGAACTGATTCGAGGCTGACCTAACTGGTGCTTCTGCCCTTGATTTCGGATCGTCCGCGGATCCTTTTTTAGTTGGGCCGGCCAGCGAGCCTCCGGGCCCTAGGTGGGCCAGAGAGAGAGAGAGAGCAAACCTTTATGACCCGTGCTTCCCCAGGTGGGAAGAGAGTCCGGATTCGCCTGGGGAAGACGATCCGTCCGCCGAGATTTTTGGGGTGAAAGGATAGGGACTGCGGGCGCGTGTCCCGCGACATGACGCGGCGGCACGCGTGGCAGGCCCGGAGATCGAGGCGGACGGTTGCCCTTCTCACGTCCGTCGCCCACTATAAAACCACGGGGTTCGCCCCCAAGGTTCTGTATTTCGCTCCCCTACCTTTGCGTTCTGAAACATCCGCCGCCCATCGTCCCAGCCTCTCGCGCCCGCATCGCCACCGTCGACCGGCCTGCGTTCGTGTTCCGCCGTCGTCGAGCTCGCTACCGCCCTTCCCCTACTACTGTGATGGAGTTATGGGGCGATCAAGCATCACCTCCCGTCTGGAGGGCCTCATCCGCCGTGGCCTTCTCCGCCACCGTCCGTGGCCCCGGAGTGGTTGCTACACTGGCGACGAGGGTGAGCCGGTGCCGCTGAAAGGGTATGTCGTCTCTTCGCCATCTTCCATGAGCGGGGGTTCGGGTACCATGCATAGTTTCTTCGGGGGCTCTTTGGATTATTATGAGGTGGAGCTGCAACATCTCGACTCCTAATGGGGTTCAACACATGGCGGCGTTCGTTGCCTGCGGCGAGGGTTTCTGGGATCGATCCCCATTTCGATCTGTGGCGATATTTTTCACCGTTAGTTTGTCGAAGAGGCGGGTCGGGGAAGGAGGTGAATGTGCCGATGGGATGTGCCAAGATTCATATGCGCCCCTTCCAAATCGAAGGCTTACCCGCTCATGCGTCTGTGACCTCGAACAAGGGATGGCACTTCAGCGGGGTTTTACGTCGTGGATGACCTCGAGTGCTACCACGCCTAAGTACACCGGCGCTTGATCGAAGAGGCCCCAAATACATGGGGTTGGGGCGTCCAAATGAAAGGACAAGAAGCACCTTGACGACCTTCTCACCGCCCTCCGAGCTCTGATGGATCAGGGCGTAAAGGGGGTGGGGATTATTGGCGATTATCATGCGAGGAGGGTGGTGCCGTTGATGGCGCGTGTGCTTCCCCTGTATCGGATGATGCCCGGGACGTCGTTCGAGGGGACGGTGCTCGTTGACGAGGCGCTCCCTTATTCCGAAGTGGCGCAGCGCGTTAAGGAGGCGACGGAACCGACGAAGGATTCTGCTGGTGGCGTCCTAGACATTGTA